ATGAAGAAGTTCCCAAAGCCAAATTTGTGTAAAGTTGCAAATAAGAACTTCCAGTTAACTCTATCAAAAGCCTTTTCTGCATCTAGAGATAATATACTAGTTTCTATGTTTCTACTGTAAGAGAAATCTATCAAATTCAGTAATCTACGCGAGTTTGTGGATGACTGTCTACCCTTAATTAAACAAGTTTGGTCAGGGTGTATTATGAAGGGGGTTAACATCAGCATCTATTCTCTGGGAGGCAGGAAAGGCAGTGATGAGAGGTAAAATAATCTCTTTCGCATCACATAAGAAAAAACAGAAAACAAACGTATTCAGGAGTTAGAAGAAATCATTAAGTCTTTAGAGGCATCCACAGAAGAAGAGTTACTGAGCAAATTACGTAAAGCTAAATTAGAACTTCTTGGAATTATTGACAAAAAGACACAATTTTTAGCACAAAGACTACGAATAGAAAACTTTGAACATAGTAATAAGTCAGGTAAATTTTTAGCTAGCCAGTTAAAAATTAATAAAGAGAAAACTACCATATCTGCTGTTAAAGACTCAACTGGGAATATAGTTTATGACGCTGAAAGAATAAACAACAGCTTCAGAGACTTTTACCAAACTTTGCACTCACCACATATAAACCCATCAGATAACGAGATCAATGAGTTCCTTGACAGGATAACACTTCCTAAATTATCAGACAGCCAAGCTACAGTCCTGGACTCGCCACTAACATCAGCTGAGCTCCAGGAAGCCCTTAAATCCATGACTAATAGGAAGGCTTCTGGCCCAGACAGGTTTCCAGCAGAGTTCTACAAAGAATTCTGGATCATTCTGGCTCCAACATTTTTCAGAATGGTGAGGGAAATCGAAGAGAGCGGCAGATTACAGCCAAACTTGAATTCAGCCAATATTAGCCTCTTGTTAAAACCAGACAAAGACCCTGCATTTCCAACCAGCTATCGCCCAATTTCTCTTATTAATGTTGATCTCAAAATAATTTGTAAAGCCCTGGCAAAAAGAGTAGAGGAGAATTCGATTTTCTAACGTACGTGTAAACTAGGATAAAGGGTTAGGGTTACTTTAGGTCTAGTTAGACCCATAGACTGTACATAGACCATGTAAACACACTAAGGGAAATGCATTACACTACTTATGAACTTGCTGTGTGTGACCCGTCTTGTCATCTAGAATCAGCTGGTGTTGATGTAGCTGGCAACAGGTCCTCAGAGTGCTTGTTTGTTTTTTAATATATGCTATCATTCAATAAAATAAAGATTTTGAGATAAGAGACCCTGTGGAATGCAGCAGGTTGGTGTCTCAGTTGCGTGAAGTTGCACACACGACTCTCTTCTGCAAGCCACTTCAAAATGTGCAACGAAACTAGGCAGAGGAATCGCACAGATTCACCTCATGTAATGTCATGACTTGTAAAATCGTTCAAAGAATTTCACAGGATGTGACTATAGTAAAATGGGGGATGGTTAAACTGGTCACATGACTTGGTTAAGGAGTCTTGGAGGAAACGAGGGTGGTGGTGAGGGCGAGAGGAGCTCCGTCACAGTTTTTCTGCTAGAAAGAAACAGCCACTTGAGCCTGAGACACCAATTATCTGTGGATGATTTACTTCATAGGGAAATGTTGCGCAATACCCTGTACATGCAAGGTAGGCTTCCTGTTAATCAAATAATTTTTGTTATTTGACAGTTGCAGCAAATGTTTTGTTTTACTAGTTTTTGATAAAAGGGATATCTGATAAAGCAGGTCTGTAACCAGCTTCTTTAACCTCTTATGTCCTAAATAAGCATTGGACTTGAGTTTTACACTAGAGGGATCTTCAGTTCCTGAACTTGTCACTTAAACCAGCCAAGGAAAGCCTCTGGGCTTTGGTTTTACATTTTGACACAATTTGCACATTCAGAAGATTGGAAACTCCTGCACACTGACTTGCTCATAACTGCACCTCTAATGTTCTGGTTTAAGGTCTTATAACACACTAATGTGTTCAAAGCATTGATTTAAACATGAACAATTAATGACTGGCTTAAAAATGAAAGAAAAATGGCACAGAGTCCACCTACGGTACTGAAAGTCCCCCCCCCCCCCCCCCCTTTTTTTATTTTTGTGCTTAAAAGAAATGCAAGTGAAAACGTTGGAAATCTAAGTATGCAAGGTGAGGATTGTGTGAATACACAGTGGTCGGTTTTATTTTTAGCTGTGTGTAGTTGAAAAATCTATTAAATTTTAAATCTGTTTCCAATCAAACACCAGAGCACTGGCAGGCCTTTTAAAACTCTTAAACACTCGTAGTCATGACTCATTGTAACTTAGAAACACCACATTAGAAACTATACTTCCTATAGTAAAAAATTAGATTATATATATATATATATTTTGTAGATTATTGGCTCTTTTTGTTTATCTCCAGGGGTGGCTCTAGGGGCGTTTAGGGCTGGCCAGCCCCCCACCACCCGCCCTCAAGTCATGCATTGGTACTAAAACCTCACATTTTCTTTTTTTGGAACCTGAAACGTGACTATCAGTTTACTTACACACACACACACACACACACACACACACACACACACACACACACACACACACACACACACACACACACACACACACACATTAGACATGCATTATGGTAAATGGTCTATATTTATATAGGGCCTTCCAGGGTTCTCCAACTCCCCCCAAAGTGCTTTACATTCAGTCATTCACCCATGGACACACGTTCAAACACTGATGGGGATGAGCTACAATGTAGCCACAGCTGGCTTGGGGCTCACTGATGGAATTGAGGATGCCCAAAGCTGGCACCACCGATCCCTCCGACCACCACCAGCGGCAGGGCAGGTTAAGTGTCTTGCCCAAGGACATGACTGTGATGGACGAGGCTCAAACCTGCAACCCTTAAGTTATGGGTGGGCCCTTAACTCTACCACCAGAAGGATAATTTGTCCCTCTGAAAAAGCTTTGAGGCAGAAACACCAAACAGCTGGACTTGTTTTTAATGATTGGTTCCATTTAGATGAATTTGGTTAATTTCACCGTTGAGAAAACTGCCAACTAGCAGCAACAGGCCTCTGCATTAGAGGAAACTCCACAGTTTCTGACATCTCAACAAAAAGTTAATTGTCAGAAAACACTTGATGAAATGATAATTTTGTGGTTTTAGTTTGTAGCTTATTGATCATCTAATCAGATCCTAAATTTGTCTCCTGTCTCTCAGTGGCAGGAACCCAGTTCGCTGTGAACTGGTAAAATGAGGAGTCTTTTTCATGTAACTCAGGACAAACGGGTCCTGATGTGAATCATGTGTTGCACTGTGAGGGTCGTGTTCTTTGATTTCTCCAGTGCATTTAACACAATTCAGCCTGATGTACTTTGCCAGAAACTCCAGAAGACACAGGTGGGGGTCTCAACTATCGCCTGGATTAAAGACTACCTGACAAACAGACCACAGTTTGTGAGGCTGAAGAACTGCACATCAAACCAGGCGATCAGTAACATTGGAGCACCACAGGGGACTGTACTCTCACCATTCCTTTTCACCCTGTACACCTCAGACTTCCAGTATAAATCAGAGACCTGTCATCTACAGAAATACTCAGATGACTCTGCAGTTGTCGGGTGTATCAGAGATGGACAGGAAGCTGAGTACAGAGAGCTGGTGGAGCGCTTTATGGCATGGTGTGGAAACAATCATCTGACCTTGAACGTGAACAAAACAAAGGAGATGATTTTAGACTTCAGAAGAAACAGGGTGGAGTCAAACACTGTTTCCATCATGGGAGAAGAAGTGGAGGTGGTTGAGGAATACAAATACCTTGGAGTTCACCTGGACAACAGACTGGACTGGAGAAAGAACAGCGAAGCCGTTTACAAGAAGGGACACAGCAGACTGCACTTCTTGAGGACGCTTAGGTCCTTCAGTGTCTGTAGCAAGATGCTGCAGATCTTCTACAAGTCTGTTGTTGAGAGTGTAATCTCTTCAGCCATCGTCTGTTGGGGTAGCAGCATCAGAAGCAGGGACCTGAAAAGGCTCAACAGCCTAATAAAAAAGGCTGGTTCTGTTCTGGGGACGACTGTGGAACCACTGGAGGAGATAATGCAGAGAAGGATTCTCCAGAGAATCAAGAAAATGATGGACAACCCTGAGCATTCTCTTCACAAGACTGTCCGACAACGGAAGAGTGTCTTCAGTCAGAGGTTTCTTCAGTTTCGCTGCAACACTGACCGCTACTGGAGATCCTTCCTGCCAACAGCCTTTGTAATATACAATAACTCTTTGATGACTTGATTATTATTATTATTCTGAGCTACTACAGCAATCAATTTCCCTCTGGGATTAATAAAGTATTTTTGAATTGAATTGATTTGAATAGAATGTGTGAAAGCAGAGTCAGAATAGCAAACATGTTTTGTAAAAAGGACCTGCTGATGCATCGCTGGTTGCATGCATTGCTTCCCAACAATCCAAAATGGATTAAAAATAGGGGGGGGGGGGGGGATTTCAGCACATTTTTAAGCCTGTTCGAAGCAACGTTTCTCTACAAAAAATGAACTTTCTATGCGAGTTACGACTTTCCAACAGGCACAAAAAGTTGTAACTTACAAGAAGGGGAAAATGTCTAAAACCCCAATGTGACCTACTTGAGCAAATTTAGGTTTGCTCAGCAAGCATTTATGCTCAACTGCAACAGTTTTACATCGTATACAACAAAACACAGGAAGCATGCTGCAGATGTCAAAGTATTTCATTTAGTACCAAGATCTAATTAATACCCTGTTGAAAAAAAAACAGCAAAGACCAGCATATGTTGTGTTTTGGTGCTGGTTTAGCTGGTGGACCAGCACCCCAAACACAACATACGCTTTTTCAGCAGAATAGACTACATTATAAAGTAGAAATCACTATGTTGTTGCAATTCAGGTATCATGTATTTAAAGTTATATGGGGACTAACTTCATGTATATTGACTTTGATGATTATTGTCTTTCAGCAAAAACAGAAGCTTCGGCGATGGAGAAAGGTGATCCAGCCAAAACAAAAGGTACAAACGCTTTAGTTTAATTGTTGTTCATTCAAGAATAAAATAAAACATGGTGTTGTGTTTTACAGAAGATAAGCCAGAAGCTAAAGATATGAGAAGCAATCCTCCAACTAAAGTCAAGCTACCGCCCGTAAAGCCCATGCCGCCTCCCATCAAAGGCAAACCCATCAAGGTTCCACCAAAGTGAGTGATGAATCGTTATTGTGCCGCCTCGTTTCTAATCTCAGCCAAAAGGCAATCAAGGCTCATTCGTGTCCAAACGTCCTACAAACAAAAAGCCTTTAACAAAGGTCAGGAACTTGTTCTCCTCCCTCGTCTGGCACCAGAAACCAAGGCTTTGGAAGCTAAAGGTTTTGGTTGCCACCTCCAGTTGTCATGGAGTCCTTAAAGAAGAATGCCAGGATGCATGACATTTAGTGGCTCAGTGGAAACGCTGAGATGAGTCAGATCAGAGCGAAACCGTTGAGAGCAGCTAGTTTCCTGTTTCCTGAGCAGAATACACACAACACTGTTACGCGTTTCTTGAAAGTGCCACTAAATAAAATTCTTTAAAGGCTAAGTTCACTGTGAAACCATACTTACTTACTATTTTTGGACTGAAAACTGGCAATCATGAACTCACGACGAGGAAGGCGGTTGTTGTTTTAGCATCCAGGAGAGAACAGAGCACATTTTGGCTAGTAGAAGCTAGAAGTAGCATCTCCTCATCATGGCAGAAGTCCTTCAGGCTTGTGTTATTTGTGGAGATAACACATCAACGTTGCAGAGCGAACAAGGTCAGTGGAAGAGTTGCGTTGCTGTTAGCCAATCAGAAGCAAGATGTCCGAACATCAGGAAATTAAGTTCAAATCCTGCCGTTTTTCGCTCCTCTCTGCTCTAACTCATACTTCCTGAAACGGGAACACCAGAGCTTTTTTCCCACTGATCGACTCACAAGGCTTTCATTTATCCTAGAGACCACTGCAAAAATACTGAAGTTAGCTTCAACTTGGTCTTTAAAGCTCATAAAAGCAGATTTGAGTGTGAAGATCTTCCATTATTCAGAGTGTGCTGTGACCTTGAGACCTGCAGGAACCGAAAAGTCCAGTTGATTTCCACTGGATCGGTTTTTCATCAACAAACTGTTATTTTCTCTTTCAGTACAACCAACGGTGATGCTGTTCCAGCTTCACCCAAAAAGCTGGAGGAGAAGGAGCCCGATCATTTTGATGGGATTGATATTCAAAGTGAAAAGCTGAGTCATCCTACAGCCAACCGAGCCAAACCTCCTCACAGGAGACCACCAACAGCCCAGGTTACAACACCACACACAGGCTCCAAACGGTCAAATGCGGAAGTTGCATGCATCGCTGCAACAATGTGCAGCGATGCAGGGTGATCCATCATGCTTTCCACGTTTATTTGCGTGACTGAATGCTTGATTAGAATGAAAATTTACATGTTTTATTCTGAGAATCGGCTCGTCACAAACTACATTGTAGTGACTTTAAGATGGGAGGGATTTCTTAACTCTGCAGAAATGATCAAGATAATTCACAATATTTTCTCAGTTTGTACTGAAATGTGTAAACACACACACACACACACACACACACTTTCAGACCTGATCTCGGCGGGTTACAAATAGGGATGCACCGATCAGGTTTTTTGCTGCCGATCACCGACACTGATATCAAAGAATGCTGATCACCGATACCGATCACCGATACCGATCACATGGATTGGCCAGAATTTTTCTACAACATTATAATGAGTGCTACAAACTACATAATCTGGGAATAAAGGAAATGTAACCTAATCTAAAATGGCTGATCGGTCTGCTTTGATCTATTTTGAAAACTCCGATCAAAACCGATAGGGGCGCTATCGGCCGATTGGGATCAAATGCCGATCCATCGGTGCTTCCCTAGTTATAAATTAATTCTAGGAAATAAACTCCCTGAAGCTTCTCAGGAGACATACCATAATATTGAACGGTGGAATAATAAAAACCTGGTTGTGTTCCGCAGGCTCAGAGTGCAGCAGACCAAATGGACCAGAAGGAACCGGAATCAGGATTCAAAAAGCCTCCAGTCGACAAATCACTCAACCTACAAAAGGTTTGTCAGGTTACAGTATTCTTACATGAGTTTATGAGGAAAAGTTGTTAAAACTCTCACTTGTGTCTGACTCGAGTCCTCATCTCCAGATGTAATGTCTTCACTTTCAGATATATGAGCCCTTGTTTGTATCCCTCTGTTAGACAAATGTTAGTAATGTAAAGCTTTACTGCTGTCCCATAAAGAGCCTCAGAGAGAATTCACTAACAAAAGATTTGATGACTGTACAGAAGCAAACATGCTTGCAAAATAGTAAGAGGCTGACAGGAAATAGGAAGCGAAAGAGGTTCAACCACCCAGAAAATAAACCAAGACCGTTTCTGCACTGTTAACACCTGACTGGCAACAGAAGCAACTTCAGTGCCAATAAAGGAACATGTGAACATAATGACACCATGCTGCGGACCAGAGCTGTAGCAAAATAAAGTCTTAACCATTCATAACTTATAACAACGAAGGTGTTATAAGCTGTACGTATCGCATTATTTTTTATTTAGTTTGTCCGAACTAAATCACAGTTCCATCATTTGTGATTTTTATTTATTTTTTCTGCTTTAAGGGGAAAGAAAATCTCACACCTCCACCCGCAAAGCCCGAAACTGCAGCCAAGACGCCCCCTGTGGTCCGCCCACCTCCTCCTAAGATCGCCATGAACAACAGAAACGAGAACCATAAAGAAGAGCCGACAGTAGGAAGTCTTCAGGAGGAGCTCAAAGAGCTGAAGATGGCGCTGGAGCTGTTTCAAACCCGACACGAGTCAGTGCTCATGTCTAACTGCAGATGCACTTTTTGATTGGTTCCAGTCTGATCCCAACGCCTGTTTGTGCTGGTAGTGTAGTAGCAGCTCTTTTATTTGATCAGTGTTGCTGTGTAACATTTATATTCATGGGACTGCTGGGAATACTTTATCCCAACATGAAAAAATGTTTGGTTGCAAGCTTTAATGTTTGTCCTGCAATAAAAACGTGCTCGGTAGTGGTAGCGGAGGCCGATGCATGCATCAATACTCATACACTGTAAAATCTGATTAGTTCACTTTACTTAAAAAAAAACATGGAAACCGATTGTGGTTAAAACCAGTACACGGTACTTTGAAATTAGCTTCCTGAAATTGTATTTCTGAGTTGTTGACACTTAAGCAGTAGTAAGCAGTGTGCAAATTTCCATGCACATGCACTAGTTTCTCTTGGTTATAATAACTAGACTGTAAGTTCATTTTACTTTGTAAATATTAGTAGCTCCACGCCTAATTACCTATTCCTGTGTACTTATTGGGTCAGATTGGTTCCAGTGTTATTTAAAAGCTCACAAATGTTGAAAAAGAGGTTAAAATGAGCCGTTGCATCTTTAAATGGTTAAAAACTTGTAACATTTGAGCTCTTATGAGATCTCGCTTGGATCTTTATATTGTGAGTTCAGAGCAAGCTTTTCAGTGCTGCTCCTTGAGAGATTTTGCCCTGCATGTTTTAGTTGTTTTCCTGCTCTAACACAACTGAGGAAGGGATTTAAACAGCTCTTTGGTTACTTAAGTTCTTCAGAAGCTTGGTATTTACCCATCGACTCAAACGGGTGTGTTGGAGCAGGAAACCTGGTAAACATGGGGCCAGGATGGGGACGTCACTACATGCAATTTTGAAAAAAATCTATATTTTCCCTATCTGATGTGTGTGTGTGTGTGTGTGTGTTTATTTTTAAGCTTCCTCATCTTCTAAACCTCCTCTTTTTGAATTTGTCTCTTTTGATCAGACAAGACATGCAGGAAGTGAGAGAAGAACTGAAAGAAGAAAGAAGAAAGCGAATGTCTTTGCAGGTCAGTCTGATGCCATTTTGAGTTTCGCATGGATTGTTACCAGCTGTTTTATCAGAAGAGGAAAAAAAAACAGAAGCTGAGGCTCCAAACGCTAATAAAGAACGTGTTTTTCTTTAAACAGGAGGAAGTGATCGCTTTGAAGGCAAGGAAATAATTCCACCAGTGACGCTGAGCTCCTTGTTTGTGGTTTTACTGTAAAGGATTTCTGACACCAAGTAAAGGTTCTCCCAAGTGAAGACGAGAGATGTCTAAATGTTAAAGTATTGGTCAGAGCCCTCTGGTCCAGTGAGATCACATTATTACATCAGAATGCTGTTTATGTTTGCTACATGAATGCTGGAAAACAAAGGTCTGGGTTTAGCTTAGAAAAATAATAGAATTTACTTAAATATTATTTTTTTCCCCCCGCTGTCATATTTTACTCTGCTTTACAGAAAGCGACTTTTAAAGCCTCAGAATTTGTAATATGTGAAAATGTACATAAAATGAGTTATTGTGAATGTTATTAAAAATATAAGATGACATTGTGTGACTTTGTGCACAAATGTTGGACAACTGGAATTCCTTAGATTTATATTTCTAAATTATTACATGAAATAAATAAAAATGTAGTTTTTTTTATTTAAATAAAAATACATTTTGTTGTTTTTTAGGTTAACAATGAGGAATCACAACTGGTTGTGAACAATTGTTTAGTTATCCATTTTTAAATGCATAATATATCATGAACAATTTAAGTTTTAAGCTTAAAAACTCAACAAGCCAAACAAGTATTCTTAATATTCTCTCTGAAATAAAAAAATGTAAACCTGCAACACTTTACCAACGGGGTCCCTTTATTTAAGCTAGTGCATTAAGCATTAATAAACAAATGATCCACATATTAACATTCCCAATATTAACTATGTCCTTAAGATTAGAACAAAGAGCCGGGGAGAGAGTCTGCTTAGTAATGCATTACTTAATAACATTAATCAGTTAATACGTCATTTGATAGTTTATTAATGATTAATAAACTAACGTTAAAGGGACCCTTATCGGTAACTGTTACCTTCTGTAATATGATCACATTACCTTATGTCTTATATTTTTTTATCGGTTTTATCTTTACATTTTGTGAAAACGATTCTTTTTATAGATTGTGTGATTTGCAAAAAATATTCACAGCATTTAATGCATATTTTTATTATTGTGCAGTAAATTGCACAAAAATACACAGTGAACCATTTGTTTGCACCAGATGTAGAGAATGTATGATCTTTCCAAACAGATTTTCTGATTTGAAATATGACTTGAAGTGATTAAAATCTTTAAGGATTCTAATAAAATCAGTTAAAATAAAATCAAAGCTCAAGACTCAACTGTTGTGCTGAATCAATCCACTAGAGAGAGCTGTTGCTCTTCATTGCTGACAGAAGGGGAACCAGAAATCCTAAAGAACAGTAATTCCATTAAAAGGCCGAAGAAGAGGGGCTGTAACTGAGTTAATGTTAACGCGTATTAACAACCTAAATATAAAATTGTGATAAAATTCTCTTAAGAGTTGGCTACTTTGACAGTTAATCTGGAAAACACAGAGAAGCCAACGCATCAAAAATCCCAGAACACAATGACTCGTCAGTTTGGAGGGAGAAAATGTGCGAGTGGAATGAATTACATATTTTTATTGCTGTTGTGCGTTCACCACAGCCACATGATGAGCATTTTACATGTTGTGAGTTTTCGACCGATTGGCCTGTAAAAGTTGTTTCTGAGACTACGGCTGTTGTTTAACACGACGCACATGTGGGCAACACCTGGAGTTTATCATCGCACATCGACTACTTCTAAAATACCCATAGGAACCAACTTTTTATGAAACATATGTTAAAAATCTGTCATTCGATGCTTGTTTCATTAACAATCTTAAAGCAAACAAAGGATTTAGCTGACGTTTGCATTCCAGGGTAAAAAGAATGTTAAGGTTTCATTAATCCCAATGACATGGGTCACTGAGACAGCAGAGTTACTAATGAATCACAACAAACAGCTTTCACATAATTGACTCGGTCTGAATAAATACTAAAGGTCCCAGATGACGATGGCCAGCATGTTGCATGAGGATCACAGAAGAGGTCAGATCCATTGCAAAGATTTGTTTGAAAAGTTTATTAAAAAAGCAATTAAATTGGGAATGTTGGCTTCTGGCAGAGAAAGTAGAAATTGGTCAAAATCCTACATGTTAGTTCTTGGGAATCATCTTTGTATCTTTAATTTATTAAGGGGTTTAAAATATCTATAGGTAGTCGAAAACTGTTGTTTTGTTAATTCTCAGGTAACCGACGACTAACAAACACAAATAAAGCTCCTCTTCAAAAATATTTGAAGAGAGACATTTTTGTTGCAAGCGCTATGTAACATTGATTTTAAATGCACTTTTACAAGTGTGTCTTGTAAAATAAACACATTTCAACCCAAACTTACTGCTGTTGATATGGATAGCTGCCATTTGGGATGTCGAGGTCGGAGTTCTGAAATGTTTCCATGTTTCCGACTGAGAGGTCTGAGGTGTGGGCGACGGTGGCACAGGAGTTAAGTGCTCGCCCCATAATCGGACGGTTGCAGGTTCGAGCCCCGCTCAGTCTGTCGCTGTTGTTGTGTCCTTGGGCAAGACACTTAATGCCCTTTGCCCGCCGGTGGTGGTCGGAGGGACCGGTGGCGTCAGTGCTCGGCAGCCTCGCCTCTGTCAGTGCGCCCCAGGGCAGCTGTGGCTACGTCGTGGCTCATCCCCGCCAGTGTGTGAATGTGTGTGTGAATGGGTTAATGCGTTGTTGTGTTGTAAAGCACCTTGTGGGGGTTCCAGGACTCTAGAAGGTGCTATATCAAATACAGGCCATTTACCATTTGGGCAGTGTGTCATTTGATTTGAGGACCAATCGAAGGTGCAGTGAACATATTTGTCTCCTAGACCCATCTCCTGCATTGGCTTCTAATAAAAAATAAACGGTGAAACTCTAGGATTGGAAACGCCTGACAGATCTACATCACATTGTCACTTAACATTCATGGACTCACCCATGTTGGCGACGGGGAAGGTTGTTGTTGGTTTAGTGTCCGGGAGGCAGTAGAGAAATTCTCAGCTAGTAGAAGCTAACCATTAGCATTAGCAACTCCATCAAACGACAGAACTCCTCCAGGCTTGTGTTATTTGTGGAAATGAAACATCAATGTTGCAAAGCAAACAGAGTTAGTGGTAGAGTCGTGTTGCTGTTAGCCAGAGGAGAAATGTCCAAAATTCTAAATCCTGCCATCTGAAGCTACCTTCTCCTCTAGCTTATTTCTCTGTGCTGAAACAGTCGCAATGCAGCGGACCACTACAAATGTATTAAAAATATGAGTAAACACCTTGTTCTACAGAAATCCAAGCCCAAGAAAACTCTAATCATCTAAAGCACTACCCAAAGACTTTGCAATGATGCATCATACACAGTTTGTTAGAGAAATACATTTTAGTGTATTGTTGATTTTTTAGGAATTGAAAAAGTATCTGAAGATGTTTTCCTTTTTCTAATTTCTCCTTAGCGTTGTTAGCTTAACGTAATCCTCCAGCCTTCTTTACCTGATCTTACAGTAAAATGAATTTAAAAAAAACACTGTAGCTTCTTAGGGGTACAAGAAATAACTTCTGGGCCGCTCCTGTTTACTGGTTTCTATCCAAAACTGCTGCTCTCTGCTGGCCGTTGTTGACCTGCAAATGCTGGCGCTGTGGTGTGGTGTTTGTTGTTGCAGCTCACAGTCTTAAATATGATTGGCTCTGGAACCAGGAAGTATGAAGACGGAGCAGATTATGAACAAAGACTAAGTTCATTAGACTTTTTAAAAACTTACTGCACCTTTGTTAGAATCACAATTTAAACATTTTGCATTTACTCTTATTATCTTTGTCTAATACTGCATTTTGTTTGCTGATCAGAAACTTTGAAGTGACTAAAACGTCTAACAAGAAAACTGTGAGAGAAGGGTTAGGGTTAGGCCGTAACCACCGACTCTTCACTTGTTCTAAACAAAAAATGAGACTAGTGCATGCTCCTCCAGAATAACACATGCTATTGTGCCGCTCTAACAATCTGCAATGTTCCTTCTATTTAAAGGGTACTAAAAACCCACTTTAAGTGCTATGATGACATAGTTCAGAAGAAGTTCACACAAACAAAAGAAGCAACCGCTTTATAAGGTTTAAACCATCAATGCAACAAAGCCTGTGACCACAGAAGAGGTTTTCCAAAACCTCGACTGAAATCACAGCAGTCCTCAAAGCAGACATGAGCTGCAACAATTTTAGAGTTTGAGGGCAAAGTAGCTGGAGTTCCTTGTCTACCTGTCCTTCTCCAACAAAACCCCCATGATATGCTACCCCAACACAAGGACATATGATGTTTCTGGCATCCAGATGGTCAGAAATGCTGACACATGGCACACCGATGAGTATTTAGTACATTTTTCCTCTTCGTAGGGTTTTACTGACGTGCCAAAAAGTCGTACTTTGATTTCTTGTATGGATCAACAAACCACTTGTGATAATTTCCAGAGTAAACATTCAAACAGCGTGGGCCAGTTCATCCGTCTGCGTTGGCAACAGAATCATGTAATCGTCAGCGAGTGCACGTGGAGCAGATTTGTCCTGTGAATGATGCTGGCCGTCTAAGTCCTGACTTCATTATTCCATGAAAACAGCGAAATGGCGATGTAACATACTCCTCCCAAAACCGCATGACAGAAGTCATGGTGTTGAAGCAAAGCGTGGGCAGATAAACACCACAGACAACAACAGGAGTATAGAGAGCGTCTTTGTGTAAAGCTCAGGGGTGGCTCCTGGTAGGACATGCCCAAACATTTACCCCGGGGAGCATCCTAACCACATGCTCAAACCACCTCAGCGGGCTCCTCTCGATGTGAAGGAGCAGTTTCTCCTGGATGTTGGAGCTCCTCACCCATCTTTAAAAGCTAAGCTTTCACAGTTTATTTCTTTCCCTCATTAACCAAAGCTCATGAACCTACTTGATGTTTGGGATGGAGAAAACCCAGTAAATCAAGAGCTTCACCTTCAGGCTTAGCTCCCTTGTCACCATAACAGACCAGTTAAGCATCTGCTGTCCCAATCCACCTGTCGACCATGTGCGCTTTCTCTCCTCAATTATGAAGTCCAAATACGAGGCTATATTCTCTTTCATAAAACAATGGTGCCACTTTGCCGCAGAGCTGAGGCAGAATCAGGGAGCTTTTGGTCGTTCATGTGGTCAGCCTGTGGCGATAATGTTTTTCACAAACGATCACACAATGGTGTAAAGCTTGGTTTATGCTTGACGCATTTACTTTCCACTTGGTGATGCGGCTCGCGGATGGAACGCGCTTCACAACTCGCAGCATTTATGGTTCATGCAGCTTGTCTCTGCGGTGAGCCAATATTCTCCCAAACTGTAGGGGGCAGCATGGAGCTCTACGACGTGCATCCAACACTACACCATAGTAGAAGTAAAAATTACTGTTGTTTACAACATGGCATTCCAGCATTTTTTAACAGCGTCCTCGTCTTTTCCGACAGTGCGAGCTATTTCTCTCCAAGAATTATTAACAACATGTTGAGCACGGTGATCTCTGAGAGCTGAATCATACAAATGTCTGTATTTACGAACCTCTGCCATACTAGTTCTTGCCAGTCCGCCATGTTTGTCCGCGTCCGACCGTCCGCGTGGTTAGAAAATTTCCTAGGTGCGCGGTGCGGAAAGTTTGGGCCGTGCGGAGGCGCGGTGGAGGGGCATGGTTGTTAAAATTACGTAATTTTGCCACGCGGAGCCGTGCGAACCTCGCGGACACGTCAAGCAAAAACCAACCTTAAAGGGTGTGTGTGTGCTGTCCATGCAGCTGTCGTGGACATCCTTTTAGCTTGGACATGGGTTCTTTATGCTAATTGAAGCCACACCCCGACCTTTTAACAATGGTTGGCCTTGCTGGACGGTGGTGGAGTTTGGATTATGTATATTGGTTTGAATTAGCTCCTATCCAACTTTCACAGACCATCAAGCATCATGAAGATGGAAACAAGCTGACCTCTCATGGTTGAAATCTCGTAAGATATGGTGAAATGAGTCGGTAGAACCTGAATCTGGTGAGACTATCATCTATGAACGTTGTAATAATAAAATACTTGTATGAGGACTTTTTAATGCCCGAGACACATTATGCCATTTCATCACTTCCTCTTAAATTCTAAAACAAACAACAGATTTCAGCTTTTTATTATTATATTTGTGCCATTTCCTTTGGTGGAAATATCCTTGAAAACATGTCTATTTATCTGTGTGTTCATAAAATAAATACACCAGCTTAAATGCTTTACTCAATACTGTAAGTGTATACATATATGTCCCCCTTATCTGTTTAACTCCATCATTTCCTCTCCTTAGAGTGTTTTTTTAAGTGACCCCTCAGGCTCATCAGTTCGGTGGAGATGATTTTTCCCTGCAATCATTGTCTTCATTGCAAAAGACAGTGCTTTCTTTTTCTTTGTTTGTTTTTAAAGTTTCCTTTTCCATTAACTGCACCCACAGGCGGGTGTTTTTTATTTATAAGCACCAAACATTTTAACGGATTCCTCCCAACATCCTTTAGCTCCAACGTTCAGATCACATCCTTTTGCGAAGGAAGAAATCCATCATTAAGACACTTTTTGGTTCAATTAAATGTAGAAAATCAACAAAATGATGCTACAAAGGAAGTGCAATACATCAAAGTGTAACTCAAAGCCGTGTGTTTAACAAGTCTCGTTCTATGAAACACAGACTCCCAGGCTTCAAGGACACCAGGTCCATCAATGGTCCATAAAGCCTAATGTATCTTAGTAGTAGTGCACTCTTCCAATAGTCCCCGTTCCTGTCCCCAGGATATCTGGCTGGCCATTCCTCCAGATCTCCCGGATGATCCGCTCCCTCTCCTCCAGTCGCTGCGCACGTTCCAGCTCTTCGGCTGAAGTGAAGACGTTTACACTCAGAGACCCGTCTGATTGGCTGGTATGATTACCAACTGGGATCTCGGTGATGGGCAGCGGGACAGGTGCCTCTACATCGTCCCCTTCTTCATCGGCATCGTCTTCGCTTTCTTCGTCTTCCTCGCTGGCTTCCTTTAGATGTTTCTTCTCCGGCGTGGAGGCGGCAATGTTGGTCCTTGGCTTACAGGAGATGCGGATCACCAAGAGGCAGAGGGTCAGCACCAGGCCGAAACACACCCCGAGAACAAAGTAGAGCCCAAAACTCTCTGGATTAGCTAAGAAAAGACACAAGGGGACATTAGATTAGGTTAAATTATAGTGGTTAAATTAAAGTGGTTCTTCATTAGAGGGGCATGAGGGTGCGAGACACCGCCTTGGCTCCCCACCCGCTCGGAGATTCTCGATGGAGGATACAAGGCAGATTTCATATTGAAAACACTCCCACTCTGGCTCTGGATACCTTGACAACAAAGCCCCCCCCCCCCCCCCCCCCCACCCCCGACATTTACCGACAGAGGAACCGTGTGCACCCCCCGACAATTTTCCCACAAGGGGTGTGCAAAACGTACAATGCATCGTTGTGATGTTCGGTTCTGCGTTGTAACTCACCTTTGATGTGTGCAAAGGCAGCTATACTGTTACTCAGGAGGTCCATTTCCTTTTTCTTGACATCCATGGTGGTATAGACTTCACTTTTTAACACCTGGAAAACAGCAAACATTCACCTTTTATTTTCAATTCACAACACAACTGGAACCCTCATGATGTCCTTCCAGGTGTTACAAATCCTCTAAAAATTTCCCATCTAGTTTCCTTAGGAGTCGCGTTATTTACCAGGCCTGACTGTCAAACCCAGTGACTTCTTCATAGGCCTCCAGATGGGTGGGATGAAGCCTCCAAGCCTTTAACAAAGGCTTTTCTGTGTTCCCTACAAGTTATGACTTCATCTGGGATGATCGTAATGCATTTGGCAAATGGCAAACGCCTCTGCTTCTCTCTCTGAACCATGTCAACGCTCTTCTAATGGGGTCAACAGTCAGCTTTCCAAGAGGTCACAAAGGACTCTAACCTAGAATAACTCTCAATCCAATTGAAGCTGCTCAGAGGAAAAGGTTAGAACGTTGTTCATGTCCCCGACAATTATCGGCTCTGTCCTTCCGGCATTCTTCGATTCCTGTGAGTTCTATTGTGTTTGTGTCCACTCCTACGTGCAGTCACAGCTCTTAACACTCCCTAGGAAGTCTGTCTTCCTTTGGAGAAAGGTTTCCTGAGAAACAATCAAACTGCACGACTTCACTGTTTTGAGGAGAAAGTAAAACTAATGGAGTTCAGACCCTTAAAGCAATAATAAAGAGTTTTTAAGACATCAAGCTATTCCTTTAAATGTCTGTCTCAGTGAAATCTTGAGGTAGACACTTTACTAACTTCACATTGTTAATCACTCTGCAGCCCTCTGCTGACCAGGAACCCCGCTTAACAGTTCTGTGGCACAGGTAGGTGTACTACAGGGGTGCTATCTTTATGTGCTACGGCTGTTAGCTGTTTATTTAGTTGATGGCTAACGTAAAGGCTAGCCATTAGCTTTTTCAAAGCACATAAAGAAGTAAAAAAAGAATTTTGCTTTTTTGTTGGCATCATGGTGGAGTATGGAAGTAAAAGTAAGAGAGTAATGTCTTTGAGGTGAAGCAAAAGGCTAAAACCAGAGAGAACATCAGTGTGGCCTACACTAGTTTGAGGGAGCTAAAGGAAGCTACAAAAATAGCTGATGGTGACCTGGCTTTGTTGCCACTAAGCTTGTCAGTAATAATATTTTTTGTCCAAAAGTGTGGATCTTTTTACTCCATGGCTTTGTTTAGTATCGGTTGGCTCATGTTAGGGCTAGCTTGTCGTTAGCGCTAGCTTCAGGAGGCTATGGCAAGATTGTTTTTGCTTCCCAAATCACTAGTTTGATCACAATGTTATATCGATACAATGGATTGCAATTTGATGCTGGCCGATACCTAAAATCTATCTAAATACCATTACAATTTGATTAAATTTAGGACCCACTGACTGAATTAACAATATTACAAGTGATTGAACACAACCATTTCCTGTGGGGGAGATGATTTTCTCACTGCTCACCATGCTGGTAGCTTTTTCATTTAACGCATTTGGTGATGTGCAGGAACAGAAGGAAAACAGCATGTCAGCAGAACTTCAAAATAAAGCAAATTTCAAAACAAAGGTTTGTTTGATAAGTAGTTATTCAATCAATTTTTTCACTTTTGATCAATGTTCATATGTCATGACTAATAAATGACTGCTAATGTCACCAATGCACCTCCTTAACTGTTGTCTACAGGAGCAAACGATTTGTTTTGATCAAACAGAACATGATTTTCTTTATTTTCTTCATTAGCCACTTCCTCTTCTGTCCTGATTTGCCCTGTTGTCCTTTCCAGCTAATTTAGGCTTTTATCAACCACTCAGTTCTCCATGACTGGATGACATCACCGTGCTGCAACACAAGTGTGGCACCGGAAAACGGACCAGCTCCAACTAAAGACCTTTAATCCTCCCAGCTAATGTTGGCACCATTCCTCTTTAACATGTGCCTTGTGTTGTGACTGGCTGTGGGAAAACTATTCTTTTAGCGTGAAACGCCAGCCCTCCTTCTCTAACCTCAGTGCACAATTTTCTAAGTTGAACCATATGTCATCTTGCCCATGTGTGGATCATATGGATGTCTTCAGATTGCACTAACTGCGTGTTTATGTCTGCATTCATCTCTGAATTACAACCATTCATCTTCAGTACTTGAGCTCGTTCACAATGTGACTATTTCAATGATTTGCACATTTGTGCTCACTTGTTAATGCATTTAAAGAAAATTTAGACATAAAACTGCACGTGGAAACCATATGTGACTCATTCCACAGATGAACCTTGAAACATAGCAAACATTTTCTCGTAGATGCAAAGCAGAGACTGGCTTTTGAATCCGTCTTACCTCAGAACGAAGCCTCAAAGCAGGTCTTCACTCCCAGCTCATATTGCAACTAGAAGTCACGGGAACGGATCCAAAATGATCGTGTTCCTCTGTGTCTTGGCCTTCACTGCTGGATCAAGGCCTGTGATCTTTGGTCCTCAGGGTTAAACGGTTCATTTGGCAACCCTGAGACGAGAGCAAACACGCAGACGTCAAGCTACATTAGATCCAAACTCACTGAGGCATCAGCAACACAAACAATGGCATGAGAAAACCCCGTCCAGCGAGGGACCAGAGGCAGGTTTAACAGCTTTCCATCCTCCAGCTGTGTCCATACTGGGTGTAATGCACAAAGGCTGCAGGAGCATAATGTTCCAAATGTAAAATATCAAAGGGATTTTATGTATTTTTTGCAATTCCATTCATTTATCCCATAATGATAATCAGTCTCACAGGACAGGTGATGTCATGGAGACATTATTAGAATTTGTAATGTAAAACGTGGATTTTGCAATAAAAATAAACACAAGTAAAATCCAAGAAGGGTCTTCTAACTTTTGATGAACTTATTAGAGGTGTGCATAGGTGCCGGCTAGTTGCTGAGCGGTGTAGTTTTGCTGCCAGCTGCTGTTGGTTTAGGCCAGACTTTGCTTTGCTGAGCAGATTTCAATCTTTGCTGACTCTCAGCAGACCTTCCACACAGCGCCTGATTGAGAAAGCGTTTAGGGGCTGAGTGACAGAGGAGTTGCCATGGAAACGAGCTTGCCAGCCCCCTCCCGTCTCAGCATCCCACGAGAGGAACACATTGACCTTTTGTTCCTGTGACGGGACGCAGTTTGGAAGGTCTTCCAGGCAGGATTCCACCAGCACTTTTTGGTCGTGACAGACAAGTTTCTCTAATTTAGTTTTTGCTGCTAACTCAACATTTATTTCAAGTACGAAAGCACAAAATGGCACCCAAAGTTCTTTTAACTGATGGCTGAGGACCACACGGCCTGTCAGCCCTCAATTATCCCATCCTGTTGTTGTGTTTTTGTTTTAGTCAGACCAGGAAATGATTAACAGACCTGCTCCTTCCCTCCTTAATATCCTGAGACTCGACTTGCAGTGTTTACTTTTTCAGTGCATATCTTTCCCATCGGCCTAAATCGCCATCAAAAATGCATCGAATAATTAACTTTATTGCTGCAATAATAAAAGTTTCATAAATATTATGAAAGGAAATAACAATCCTGCAGGGGGTATTGGCACAAGACTCCAGATTAATTATTTAAAAGTATCTGATGCCAGAACAAAAAGAGACGTGTGCACATTAGTCTTCGAGCCATGCCAACATCCTGTGACGTTAATGTTTCATCCTATGTTCTGCATCTGCTGGTTTTATCATTTGCTCCTTCCTGGACTTCATATCCTCTGGTCAAACACCGGCATCCTCTTCCTGAGTCCTTTTGTCTTTTGCAAACTGTTAAATAATCCTTGAGTGTTTTGTGAAGTCGAACTGTGTGAGGCTAAAAACAAATATCTGACTCAGTTTAATGAAACGTGTCGGTCAGCAAACGTGTGTTTATAACCAGAGCTCACTGTGCTGTTGTGGTCCGCAGAGAGTTCAAGTGCTATTTCTGTCTGGGATTGTTTACTTTGGTTTTATTTCAGGAGCCGAGTGGAAAAGAAAGTCCAAATGTGTGGTGTTTTTGTTTTCATCCACTTAGAGAAAAGGACGATTGTCCTTCCTTTTGCCCAGATTTCTTGTTTTCTGCTCAAACAAACTCCTCCAAGTCGAAGGTTTTCTCCTTCATCGGTGCTTTTGTCTAAAATGACATGCTGACGTTCTACTGTGTACAGAAGTCCAAACAAATACGGTTCAAGAGCTCCACAGAGTGAAATAACATCTGCAGGACTGACAGTATGTCAAAGTTTTTTAAAATGGTAACAAAAAGCAGAAACAAACTTAAAGATGTTCATTTTTATGCTTTAAAATGTGCAAATGTGTTTATTGCCATGCAAAGTAAAAAATAAAAAAAAGATGCTAAAAATTTGCAGGAAGTGACTCAAATATAACAAAAACTCAAGATTTGTTCTGAACTACTTCTGGTTAAAAACGACCCCCTGAGGTTCCGGTGGAAGCCAGAGTAACAATCCAGAGTAAGGATGTGTTTGGATAAGGAAGTTCTGAGACTTTTAGGGCCAGAGTAGAAATTATAGCCCATCCAGGCCTGTAACCATAGCAACTGATTCATTTGGTGAGGTTCCGAAAATAAACACAGACGGCCGTCAACATGACATCCTTATAGATGAGTTTAGAAACAGAGATGGCATTTGTTAAAGACCAAGTTCACTTGTTTTCTTTTCAACACATTCGCAGTGTTCTCTAGTATAAATGAAAGCCTTGTGAGTCGATCTCTGTGGGAAAATAAGCTCTGGCGCTCATGTTTCAGGAAGTAGAAGTGAGCCAGATGAGAGATGAGGTAAAGACGGCAGGATTTGGAGTCTTAATTCCGGATATTCTGACGTTTCGCCTCTGATCGACTAACTACAACACCACTGACTGTTTGCTTTGTGACGTTGATGCTTTATCTTCACAAATAGCACAAGCCTGAAGGAGTCCTGCCATGTGGTGGAGTTGCTAATGCTAATGGTTAGCTTCTACTAGTCGTGGCGTTCTCTGGACGCTAAAACAACCCTCTTCCTCGCCACAAGCCGAGACTGAATGCTTTTTTACTGTGTGACGTAGATCTGACTGGCTTTTCTAATCCGAGCGTTTCCCCATCTATTTTCTATCACCGATCATATTTCAAAATGAACAAGTGAAAATGGTGAACTTTCTTTTTTAAAGTCAACATCTATGACATGAAACAGGGAGAAAACCAGTTTTAACTGGGACAAATGTTAACGTTGGACCCTTTGACAAATGATCCAACCACAATTCTCCTCTTCCACAGTTAAGAAGTCACAAACCCCTCAGACTCATTTATGCAGGAAGTTAAACCTCCTTTTATTTGTCTGCAGAGCATAAAAACGTTCAGATTACACAAGAGATCCAGTCTGCTTAAATCGTCTGCTGTAAAAACGCACGCCGAGTCACAGAACACAAGAGATGCTTTTAATACCTCAGATTTCTGTGAACCTCCTATAAAGGCGGCTTGTGTTGGATGAAACTACACAGAATATAAACAGCTGCGTTTAAATTTAATTATATTTCATAGCTGGGAGTCCTCACAGTGATGGCAAAGGCTGGAATCAGGATTTACAACTGCTGCCGATTCTGTTCATTAAAACATTTCTGATTTCTGAAGCTGCTACTGAGAAAAGGGAGCTTGGAGTTTATATCAAACAAAGTAATCAGTCATATTTATTTACTATTTTCAACTCCTAGAGTCCCGTTCTACTGGGTTTTACTTTAATACATGAATGTAAAACATCAGCCTCAAAGTAGACCAAATAATCAGAAGTGGGTCGATTATCACACACACGTGTGGCATGGTGGATAAACGAGAGCCCGGGCGGGATTCGATCTCCAGACTGCCGGGTGAGAGTCATACGCTCTAACCAGTCAGCCAAAGAGTCATCTCCTTGGCCAAGTAGCCAGGGCGCATGATCAATCGGGACATTGTGACAGGACGCTCACACTGTCACACACGCATCAGTCTCCAAATCCTAACGGTTCTCCCTGAGTGAGCTGTAGTGCAGGTTTTTACTTTCCACCTGATAAACAGAAACGTGTGTTTACAGCATTGAGTCACAAAGTGCAAAACAATTAAAGATGCTGAAAACTTGTAATTTGCATTGGTCTCTAGAAATGAATGCCTTATAAGTCATGTTCGAGAGGGAAAAGGCTCAGATGCGCTGGAAGTACAAGACAGCTGGAGGAGAAAGTAACTTCAGACGGCGAGATTTGAAGTCCTTCTTCCTGATATTTGGACATCTCGCCACTGATTGCCTAATACCAACACGATTCTACCGCTGTCTGTTTGCTCTGCATCGTTGATGTTTTATCAACACAAGCTTGAAGGAGTTCTGCCGTGTTGCAGAGTTGCTAATGCTAATGGTTAGCTTCTACAAGCTGAGACATTCTCTGCTGTTTCCTGGACGCTAAAACAACCCCCTTCCCCGTCACAAGCCGAGATTGAATGTTTTTTTACTGTGTGACGTAGATCTGACTGGCTTTTCTAAACCAAGCGTTTCCCCATCTATTTTCTATCATAAACAAACTCTGCTACTTCCTGGATGCTAAACCAGCAACAGACTTCCTCGTTGTGAGTCAAGATGATCCATGAATTTTAAGTGACAGTGTGACGTAGATCTGTCAGGATTTTGTAATCTTAGAGTTTAGCCGTCTATTTTCTATCAGAAGCTAATGCAGGAGATAGGTGTAGAACACCATTATCATTAAAAAAAACTACAAAAATGGCGTAGGCTCAGGATGGGCACTCTTTTGACATGGCTTTGGTACCACCTTTGGATGATTTAGACTTGGGCTTTTCTTTGAGACATGAGCAAATAAAACTATCTAAGGCATTTATTTGGAAAATACGTGTTTGTTCCTTCTTCTTCTACTACAGTGTATGGTGTTGACTGACATCCATACAGTGAGTTCATTACATTATTCGGTGCTCCGATTGGTCCTGGCACTGTCCAATTGTGTTGGTGGTCTCAATAGCTCTTGACCAGGCTACATATTTACATATATAGGAAGGATTGCAAGGCTAAAGCTAAACAACACTTTTTAAAATTGTGTTCATAACCTCATAATTTCTTTGATACAGACAATGGCTAACTGCTGATCTCAAACATTTCTGGGCACAAACAGAGATTCAACCCAATCAGACGATGGCAGACTTCCTGCTCCCCAACTCCAGTTGAGTCAAAATCGCTTCAGTTTGCCGACCATCGTAGTTAAACACAAAGAGGTGTAAAGATAAAGGAGAATCTCTCGTCCCGTAAAGTCGGCTCAGGCAGGTAGCAGGAGGGTAATAGGGATGCAGGATGGAGCTGGGGGTTAGGGCAAGTGGTTAATGGCATCCAGATGTCAGACAGAGTTTGAATGCTTTACTATGTAAATCAGATATCCAGTGGTCCACCCTCATCCAGACATTACCAATGGAGTAAAAACAAGCAGAGACAGCTGAAAGCTAAAGGGATTCGTTTGTGTGTGAACATGTGTCGCGGATAGCCTGAGTACGCTTCTACATGCTAGAGTGGACTCTTGTGTGTTTTCTCATTTAAAGCTCCAAAAATAGACTCATGAGCTCAGATTTTTATTGTTAAAAGTAAAACATCCAGCAGCACAAAAACATAAACATACCAGACTCTCCAGGTTACTCACTCACACAAAACACATGTTGGCCCCGAGCATCATGGGTACAAACGAAAAACCTCTCCACACTAATGTGGTGCAGACCCGTTTTTAGAAGTGGGAGGTGTTGACGGTGCTTGTATGGTTTAGGAAGGAGCTACTGAGTCAGTGACCTCTCATGAAGACCAGCAGCAGTTAGTAAAGCCACAACACCCCCATCTGTCATTATGCTCTTTGAATCACAGCATGATGACACCTTTGATACGGGCCGGCACGGACCAGAGGGACAGGAATCGTCACTGGCACAATTCCGTCCCCTTGTTCCTGTTTTATTCTTTACATTTATTCAAATAATGAGGTAAATATATGTTTACCTTATATACATTTGCTTAAACAGTGCTGCAATTAGACAGAATTCTATTCCATTCTATTCTATTCTATTCTATTCTATTCTATTCTATTCTATTCTGTATAACTGTATTTTAGGTAATTCTATTCAAATAAATTATATTTTAAGTGGTCCCTTTTCATGTGATTCAAATCTATGCTATTCTATTCTTTTCTATTCTGTTGCAACTCAGTGTGATTATACTGTTTCTTTTGTGATTTTTCCTGTTATACTCTATGTGATTCACTTTTATTCAGTTCTGTTCTATTCTAGTCTGTTATTCTATTTGATGCAATTCAAATTTATACAGTTATGTTATATTCAATTTTATGTGTTTCTATTCTGTTCAAATAAATCGTATTCTATGTGACTATTTCATCTGATTTTAATCAATACTATTCTATTCTATGTGATTCAAATCTATGTGATTCTGTTCAATTTTACTCTATTCTATCCAATTCTACCTTATTCAAGTCTAGGGCCGTTTCTCAGTATGCATACTTGTCTGTACTTCCGTACTCATGTACTTGCGTACTCATGTACTTGCGTACTCATGTACTTGTGTACTCATGTACTTGTGTACTCATGTACTTGTGTACTCATGAAACGTCATCAGCGATGGTCCAAGGACTGTTCCAATCCTAAGTATGCACCATGGCAAGTTTGCTCAGAGTTCTGGATGTGTTCCTGCTCCGCCCGTTGTATTGAGGATGCATCCATGCATCCTTCAGCAGAGTTGGGATATCAGTTTCCCACAATGCATTGCGTCACAACCATTATACTCCGAACGTCAGGGAGAAATCTAATAACTGTAGAGTTTTATATCAGAAATAATAATAATGAAATAATAAGTTGTCTGTTATGGTTAATAATTGTGTTACCTGCAAAATTTGCTGTGTGTATATTGGGTTTACTTTTCAAGATCCCTCAAAATGCTAATTAGCTAACCCACTATCAAAATAAAAGCAGAATAGCTCTATTTTAATGAATTATTTTTCAGTTCATTTAACAATAGAAAATGCTGTATTTTTATTATTTTTATCAAAAGTGGACCAAATGTAATACAACTAAAATTTATTTATTGTTATTTAAGGAACAAGCTAAACTTTTATTTTTGTATCAGATTCTTTAATCATAGCTAGAAACAAGCAGCGCTTGTTGCCACTTGTTGTTTACTCTATTCCATTCTACTCTACTCTACTCTACTCTACTCTACTCTACTCTGTTCTATTCTATTCTATTCTATTCTATTTGATCCGATTCTATTCTATTTGTTGTGATTAAATTATAATTTATTCCGTTTCAACTCTATATGACTTTATTATTTCTTATGCAATTTTATTCTGCAATTATTTCTACACTATTCTACCTGATTCAAATAAATTTGATTCTATTTTTTATGTTGTTCAAGTCTTTGTGATTCTATTCTATTCTATTCTATTTAATGTAATTCTGTTCTTTTCTGTTCTATATTTAGAGTTATTCTATTCTATTCTATTCCATTCTATTCTACTGAATGTGTTTCTGTTCTATATTTAGACAGCAGAAAGCCAGGTAATTTATTATTCTAATCAAATAGAAAAAGTGAGTCAGTATGAAACCTATTTTTTTTAAGGATTTTTATGACTTTTTTGTGTTTTTGGCGTTGTGACAGTGTGTTTGTCTTAGTCTGGCTGCAAAACAAATCTCACCGCTAGATGTAACTTTCATATTTAGCAAAAACAAGTTGGAATGAAATCGATGACTATTGGAACTGTTGGGTCAGAAGAACACAAAAAAACAAAAACAAACAAGAGTTCAAAACACTGAAGTGATGATGCAGATATTTCATGTTCTAAGACGCTACCGTGTGAAAGAACATCATAGGACCATGTTCTTCAAAGAAATATTCTTTCTTGTTAGAATCACTGAGGCTGACTGTTCTCAGTAGCTGGAGGTCTAAGGCATCTGCTGATGATCATCTGATCTGCTCTGGCTTTATGCTCTATTTAACCGCTTTTCAACTGCATTTCAGTTTCTCTTCAGGAAATGTTTTCATTTTTGGTGCATGCAACAATTATTTCCAATGCATTAAAATCTAATTTCAGCTCAAAAAATGCAAAACAGGGTATTCTTACAATATTTCTACCTGCTATAAGAACGATATTCAGTCTTAAGAAAAACACAATCACTTGTTGCTCCTTTCTCTACAACATAACCGTTTCCCCCCGTAACCACTTTCATGAACTTTTACACATTTACTTGTCAAACAATCTCTGCGTCAGAAAAGCCACTTAAATCAGAAAGCAGCCTTTGCCCTGAGGGTAAACAGAGTGAGTTAACAACCAGCGGTCAGACCGATAAAACACGCTGGCTGATAAATGACACAATAGGGTTTTGGGAGGTTTGGCCTGAGGAGGTCACAGAGAAGTCAGTCAGCCTTGAAGGGGTTAATTAACCAGCTCTCAGCTACTTTTGTTGCTGCTCGTTTAGATTGTGTGAATTAATGAGGACCCCAGAGAACAGCCTCCACCCATCATCTTCCGTCTCCCTCACCTCACCCGTTCCACTGAGAGGAGGTGCTAACTACAAACATTCAGCTGAAACAGACAGAGAAATGGGAGCTGAAGCATCTGGCCAGCTGCTGTCATGCAGGAATGCTTCTAGGAGCTTGTGAGCGTAAAGAAGAAAAGCAGAGGAGACTGTTTTAGGAGTTTAAGTCCTGCTTTTAGGCAGCTAAAGTTGTCAAAAGCAACAATTATATAACGTACAGCTGCACCGGAGAGTCGATCTGCGTCCAACGATCCAGATGTGAACCCCTCAGTGATGCACTGAAATTGTTTGGATTGGTGATCAGTTTGCAGCTGATTGTGGCAAAAACAAAGCTGCATATGAGAACACATGGCTTAGTTTATAACCATCACACACTGGGGTGTTTTTATTTCCAGACCTCCACCTTAACCAACACTTACAGACCAAGAACAATCAGAAGTTCAGATTTCACCAAAAGCACCATCAACCCCAAACCATGAGCCTTCAAAGTGTAACAGAGGCTACACTGTGTGGTTCATAGGGGTTTGTTTGGCACCACACACACACACACACACACACACACACACACACACACACACACACACACACTGAAACAAACTGTCAAACTCACCGGTAAGTGATGAGAGAAAACACTTAGCTCTAGTTGCTCAGTCCACACAGAGAGCGTCAGGAAAACTGCCAACTTTAGTCTTCTTTCCCTCCAAAACACAATAAAAAAAGTTGCTGCTGTGGTCAAGTCCTGAAAAACATGTGTGTGTGTGTGTGTGTGTGTCTGCTTGAGGGTGTGTGTGGGGGTACTGAGACTAGGGAAGAGGTGGTAACTTCCTCTCGAAGTTGGAGACGGAGTGAGTAACAGTTTGCTCTCTCTCCCGGCTCCAGTCCACCAGAAGTAGGAAAAGCTGTCATACTACCCCTCGTTCACGTGGAAAAAAAGAGGAACAGCCTAAAAAGGGCAAAGTGGAGGAGGAAGGGAGGGAGGAAAGCTGTGTGTGTGTGTGTGTGTGTGTGTGTGTGTGTGTGTGTGTGTGTGTGTGTGTGTGTGCGTGTGTGCGTGTGTGCGTGTGTGCGTGTGTGTGTGTGTGTGTGTGTGTGGGTGGGTGGGTGTGTGTGTGCGTGTGTGCGTGTGTGCGTGTGTGCGTGTGTGTGTGTGTGTGTGTGGGTGGGTGGGTGTGTGGGGGCTTTCCCTTTGTTGTTGAGGAAAAAGGCAAGAATGCAACCTCAAGAAAATTTGTACAAGTCCTTCCATGCAAAAGAAAACAACAAAAACAACAATGAATTGTGAGCAAAGGGCTGCCGGATGGATTCTATTATTTAATTTTTTTTAATTTTTTTTTTACTAAAAGTTCTAAAAATCATTTAAAAATGAAAAGCTTAAGGGGAGATGTGCTAAAATGCACCATTTTCATCGTTTAGTGCATTCATATGGGTCTCTGCTGCCTCTAAAACACTCAAAATATGAAAAACGTCTGTTTTCTGTCAGTGGTTTTTCGGACCTATGTGCCTGAAGCAAGCCGTTTAAAAAGGTCCCCAGTTGTGATGTCACAAATGTGGAAATTAGCATAGAACCGTCTCTCATGTGCAAGAGAGAGCCACTGCTGGAGGAACAGTGGCTCTGCTCTGAGCCCCTCTTGGATATCGGCACTCATCAGCCAATAGCATCTTGACCAGGGGATGGTGGGTGTGGCCAGCTGCAGCTATTTTTCTTTAAGTGACAGAGCCCTGAAATGGCTCATTCTGGAAGGTACTGAAAAGAAAAAATCTGTTAAAATCCGTTTTTGTGAGAGGAATTTATCTTTGGACCCGAAATTCAGAAAAGGAAACTGCTTAGTCAATCACCTGACCTGAACAGCATAAAATTAGTCTCCGAGAACAAAGTAAGGAACCTTGGTGTTATCTTTGATCAGTACATGTCATTCAAATCCCACGTTAAACAGGTTTGTAGGATTTCCTTTTTCCACCTTCGGAATATTGCTAATATTAGAAGCATCCTTTCCAGGAGTGATGCAGAAAAACTAGTTCATGCATTTATTACATCAAGACTAGATTACTGTAATTCATTACCATCAGGAAGTCCACAGAATGCAGTTAAACGTCTTCAGCTTGTCCAAAATGCTGCCGCTAGAGTTCTGATGAGAATTAAAAAGAAGAAGAAGAAGAAAATATCATTTCTATAGCGCCTCTCAAGATAAAAATCACGAGGCGCTTAAAAGAGAGATCATATCTCTCCTGTCTTAGCTTCCCTACATTGGCTGCCTGTTAAATTCAGAATAGATTTTAAGATCCTTCTTCTCACACGTAAAGCTCTTAATAATCAAGCTCCATCATACATCAGTGACCTGATTGTTCCATATGTTCCTAACCGAGCACTTTGCTCTCAGACTGCAGGTTTACTGGTGGTTCCCAGAACATCTAAAAATAGGATGGGAGGCAGATCTTTTAGCTATCAGGCTCCTTTCTTGTGGAACCAGCTCCCAGCTTTAGTCCACGAGGCAGACACTTTGTCTACTTTTATGACTAGGCTTAAAACATTTTTATTTGATAGAGCCTATGGTTAAAATCTGATGTTAGCCCAGATCTGGACAAGTGGGGGAGTTGAGGGAGGTGGAGTGTACAGTCAGTAAAGACGGCTCCCCCTTACCCTGCCTCCAACATGCCTTCATCTAAAAGACTAGGTTATCCAGAGTTATCTCTGTAGTTATGCTGATAGGCTTAGACTACTGGAGGATACACTGACCACTTTCCACCCTTCGACTACTTTCTTTTACAATCTGCTCTTTAACTGTATTATTTCCTGCTATTTCAGCTGTTTAGTTTTTCTCTAAGTGTTTTTTCTCCCCAGAAGAAGCTACAATGATGTTCTGCTGAGCTGTGGAGCTTGAACACTGCTGCTAACCACTTAAACAATCTCCCTCTCCTGATAATAACATTTTACTCTCTTTGACATTGAATGTGCTACTACCAGTTTACCCGTATAATTATAGATTCACTAGAATAACTACAGTACAGTTTAACTCATACTAAATAAAATATTTACTAAGAAATCACAGTGCAACCATAGAAACACTACTTGGCATATATGTTGTTGAGTAGATGTTTGTGTGTGTGTGTGTGTGTGTGTGTGTGTGTGTGTGTGTGTGTGTGTGTGTGTGTGTGTGTGTGTGTGTGTGTGTGTGTGTGTGTGTGTGTGTGTGTGTGTGTGTGTGTGTGTGTGTGTGTGTGTGTGTGTGTGTGTGTGTGTGTGTGTGTGTGTCTGCTCTGTCTTCTCGATCCCCAGTGAGTCGTGGAGGATGGCTGCTTATACTGAGCCAGGATCCTCTGGAGGTTTCTTCCTGTTAGAAGGGAGTTTTCCTCTCCACTGTCACTAAATACTTGCTTAGTATGAGGATTGCTGTATCTGCAATGCAATGCAATTTGCTGGGTTCCTTATATAGGAAACTTTTTTCTGATTGGCTTAATGAACTGACCTGTATTGGAATGTTTACTGTGTGAAGTGCCTTGAGACGACTCTTTTCGTGATTTGGGGCTATATAAATAAACTTGAATTGAATTCAACTGAACTTAGCGGGGCGACGGTGGCACATGAGTTAAGTGCTCGCTCTATAATCGGAAGGTTGCAGGTTCAAGCCCCGCTCAGTCTGTCACTGTCGTTGTGTCCTTGGGCAAGACACTTAACCCACGTTGCCTGCTGGTGGTGGTCGGACTGACCGGTGGCGCCCGTGCTCGGGAGCCTCGCCTCTGTCAGTGCGCCCCAGGGCAGCTGTGGCTACATTGTAGCTCATCCCCACCAGTGTGTGAATGTGTGTGTGAATGGGTGAATGACTGATTGTGTTGTAAAGCGCCTTGGGGGGGTACCAGGATTCTAGAAGGCGCTATATCAAATACAGACTCTTGTAGTGATTTGGGGCTATATAAATAAACTTGAACTGAATTGAACTTGTTGGTCTTTCAGCATAGTGCTTTGTGCGAGTGTTTCTGTATCCTGTGGTTTAATGTTTGTATTTTGTTGTTTTAGAATGTAAATTTAAATTTCATGTTGTGTTCAGGGCTTTGGAACACCTTGACAGGTGTGAAAAGCTCTATATAAATAAAGTTTGTTGATTGATTGATTGATTGATTGATTGATTGATTGATTGATTGATTGATTGATTGTTTGATTGAAATCATAATAATATTTTGTTTTAAGAACCATATTTTGCTCTGCACATGATTCGCTCAACCACCACTGGGGTTTTTGATTTTCTAACATATTAGTCATAAATCTATTATATTAGTTAAACAGGAAAAATTTCCTTCTAATTTAATTGTGTTTCAGCATTCCTGTATGTAACATTTTAGGTAAGAAAAATGGTGCACAAGGGTTACTAGAGAGCCACAGTGTTGACATTATTAGAAATGTTTTTAGGTAAATTTATGTTTTCAGTCTTAGCTCAGAAGGAGGAGAAGCAGCTCAATGAGAAAACGACAGTTTCGGTGGAAGCAGAACACGGTAAACATGTAATGGTGGTGACATGTCAGCTGACACGATTACAAACAGCTGTAAGTTTTCATCAGTAAGTGGTGAAACGACTGAGGCGACCCTGGCTGTAAAGTGCACGCCACATATTTAAATGCTCAGCACCCACTTTTCAAACGGTTTTATCACCAAAGTTCCCTCAGTTCTTCTCCACCTCAGAAGGCTGAGCTGTAAATCTCAGTGGTCGTCATGTTCCGTCCTGACCAACTTTTATTAAAGCCATGCGTTCGGAAGGGCGCAGTGACATTTTTCATTAGTGTGGCTCAAACTCTTCATGGGAAAAAAGGGAAGAAAAGCTGCGAGTGGTGAATTCAAGAGTTTGTTTGACTCCCTCATTGAGTCGTTTAAAGACTATGTTCACTCGTTCTTTTCAAGACATGTGCAGTGGTCTCTAGTATAAATGAATGCCTTGTGAGAGGATTTCTGTGGGGGAAAAAAGCTCTGGTGCTCCTGTTTCAGGAAGTACAAGTGAGCCAGAGGAGAGTTGAGCAGAAGATGGTAGGTTTTGAATGTGAAACATCTCACTTCTGATTCGCTAACAGCAACGCGACTCTACCACTGCCTCCATTTGCTTTGCAACGTTGATGTTTTGTCTCCACAAATACCACACGCCTGGAGGAGTTCTGCTCTGTTGTGGAGTTGCTAATGCTAATTGTTAGCTTCTACTAGCTGAGACGAGCTATTCTGTCTTCTGGACGCTAAATCAGCAACAGCCTTCCCGTTTACGAGCCAAGATGTGCGAGTACATGAATGCAAACTTAGCAATGCGACGTAGAGCAGAACGCGGGAAATAAGGGTAGAAGACCATTTTCACATTTAGCCTGCATGTGAAACTCACTCACAAACCTGGTGCCCCCAGGAACCCTATGAGATGCCATCAGGCATTTTCATGTGATTAACAACATGGCAGCAGAGATGACGCATGAAACTGTGGGAGCTACAGAGGAATAAAGCTAATGGATCTTATTTTGACACTCTTTAAAAGAGTGGTGGAAGCTAGGCTTGGGTCAGAAGTATTTGTGAGCAGCAGTATGGTGTCATGCCCGGAAAGAATTCTACAGATGCTAAATTTGCTTTAAGGGTGCTGATAGAGAAGAACATAGAAGGTCAGGGGGAGCTGCATTGTGCCTCTGTAGATTTAGAGAAAGCATACGACAGAGTGCTGAGAGAGAGGCTGTGGTGCATGAGAAGGTCTGGAGTGGCAGAATGCTAGAGTGTTGCAGAACATGAGAGCTGTGAGACCGCAGTGAGGTGCGGTGCAGGAGTGACGGAGGAGTTCATCAAGGATCAGCTCTAAGCACCTTCTAGTTGGCTTTGGTGGTGGACAGGCTGACAGAGGATGTCAGACAGAAGGCTCCATGGACTGTGATGTTTGCAGATGATCTGCAGTGAGAGAAGGGTGCAGGTAGAGGAGGAGCTAGAGGGGTGGAGATATGTCCTGCAAAGAGAGGAATGAAGACAGCATCCATATGCGTAAAAGACAGGGACACAAGTGGAATGGTGATGTCACATGGAGTAGAAGTAAAGATGGCAGAGGACTTTAAGGACGTAGGGTCTACGAGAGAGAGCAGCCGTGTTGTCTGTGCATGAGCAACCAGACGTTAGATGTTTTGGAGATAAATTCAGAGAGGACAGAGTGTGATGATTTCCAGAGGAGGGAAAACGATTACATAGAAGGACGCTGAGTCAGACAGGAGGCTGAGAGGAAGACCAAAAATGTGAAGGACATGAAGTTAGTTGGTGTGAGGCTAGAGGACGCAGCAGATCAAACTAAATAGAAACAAATGATTGGCTGCGGCGACCCCTGGGAGGTCGAGCCCAAAGAGAAACACATGCTTTTATCACACTTGCATTGACATTCATTTGTAAATAATATTGTTTAAAAAGGCTGAAAATATGTTAATTATTCATGAAGTTTAGTTAAAGTCAAACCTACTCTAGGTCAAAGGTCGTCGACTTGACAAAACGGTATGGCTCAGATCTCAGCTTCACAAAGGTGGGCGACCCCTGCTCTAGAGTGACCAATCATAATTCAGAAATGACAAGTTTCTCAGCTAACATGGTCTTTAGGAGCCGACCCGTCATCACGCCTCAGCCTGCCGGGGCATCAGCGCATATCTGAATCCCACATGCTACTCTCATTATCCTGCTTGCTCACCCGAGCAGTCGGCCAGTAAAAGTCTCAGGACACACGCTCTGTAGCTGGAGTTTCATTGCATAATGCGCCCAGTGGGCTTTCAGGCTCATCACTTAGAATCAGACTTCCTCCCACGACCTCTAAGTTACAGCTCTCTCCCCCCGTCCTCGTGTAAATCTGGGATGAAAACAAAACAAAAGGAAAGGAAAGGGCTTCTCTCCAACAACCCGTCCTGTCAGCCGCATCGCTGCAGAGGAGTTGTAGAGGCCGAGGGAAGGGGCTTTGCGTAAAGCTCGGTTTCTTTATGCCAGGATTTAAATCTTTTCTGGGCTGCATCAGGGATCACATTCCTGCCTGGATCTCCTCACGGCTGGCAGGCGTCCACTTGCCCCTGGGGCTGATTTATACCCCACTTACTCTTTAGAGGGTAGAATTATGTTAGCGGTTGGTAGGTAAAAAAACTTTAAAAGATGAGGGGGGTACTTGGGGGGGAAATGAGCGGATAAAAATATGCTGGAAAATGCAAATAATAGAGGAAAGGGGGGAAATTAAGCTTAAAGGTAAACAAAGAGAGAGTAATTACAAAGAGACACATTCAAAGGAGACTTTTCCTGGATCATGGGAAACAAACCAAAGTTTTCCAGCTGTACGTTTGATTTAAATACACATGCTAGCTTGTTGCAGAGTTGGGTGGAGATATGCCACTGAGGAGGGTCTGCCTGCAGGTGGGAAAGGGATGAAACAAGAAGGTGTAAGTGTGTGTGGGTGTGCGTAAGCCCTGTGATGGTGTTGAGACAAGACACCACTCGTCTACTCAGCTCACTGCTGAGGTGAAGGGAGTGCAGCAAGTTTAATGGGAGCACAGGCCACGTTATTTCACCCAGTCGCAGTTTTATGGAAGCGTTTCCTCTCCCGTGTTTCCAGAGGTTGCCATGCCAAGCTTTTCTGGATGATCTGCAGTAAAAGGAGGCTGTGTCAATGAAGCAAGGTAAACAGAAAAGAGACGGAGCTAGGCTCACGAGACACAAAGCAAAGCTGAATAAAGGAATAAGGCTCTTTTGTTGTTTGCAACATTTAAATAAAACGCACTTGTGAAAAAAGTTTGTTTTTGCAGAAGAAATTAAGTGTAACTAAAACGCAAAATGTTATAATTAAAACCTTAGAGGAAAAAGGAATTGCTCCACCCGCCAATGACTCATCTGTCCTCACTGAAGCACTGCAAAGAACACCCTCAGATGATGCTCACAGAGATTTAGCATCATTGTGTCCTAAACTGAAAACGGACAGAGAAATCAAAAGGCTTAACCCAGTTGCAAAGTTCTGTATCATGTGTTTATGAAGACCAAATGCTGTAAACGAGGGAAAAATGCACTCATTTCTATTTTAAACTGTTTATTAAATCTTCTTTAGAAGACCTGAAGACACGTCTCTTTGGCCTTGATGCCCCCCCCCCCCCCCCCATAAAAGGTGCACTGGAGGCAGCAGAAGCTGCTTTATGGGGCAGATGGGATCCCAGAGCAAGGAGTTTGGTTTGTGATCATAACTGCTGGATTTTCCACCTCTTGAACATAAATTATATAAAGCATGAATATGAACTCTGTTACACGACGTCCTCCTGAGACCCGCCAAGTTATTAACAGACTCACTCTCACAGTTTGGCCTACTTGCATATCAGACAAATGCTCAAAGCTAAAAATGAACACTAACGTTTGCAGAGAGCACATTTTTGTAACATATAATAAAATCTATCTTTCTTTACAGTTTTTGTGAGCCTAGAAGTCTAGACAAATCGTAGCAACTGAAGAGGATTTAGCTCTGAGGGTCATACACTCCACTGTAAATGGTGAATGATAATGGCCTGTGTTTGATATGGCCTTCTAGAGTCCCGGAACCCCCAAAGGGGCTTTACAACACAATCAGTCATTCACCCATTCACACACACATTCACACCCTGTTGGTGATGAGCTACTATGTAGCCCTGGGGCACGCTGATGAAGGCGATGCTGTCAAACACAGACGTCCCTCTGACCACCATCAGCAGACAAGGTGGGTAAAGAGTCTTGCCCAAGGACACAACGGCAGTGACAGACTGAGCGGGGCTCAAACCTGCAACCTTCCGATTACGGGGCGAGCACTTAACTCCTGTGCCACCATCGCCCCATTGTAGCCTCAGCAGGTCTGCCACTGGACTGATTAGTTTTGTTGTTTGCATACCACAGCGCTCTAAGTTTTTTGGGCAGGCTAAACGTTAGAGCTGCAACAAAAAAATCTACAAAGATGGCATCAGGTTGGGAACGGAGCTCGTTTGAAACAGCTTTGGAATTAACTTTGGACAATTTAGACTTGGGCTTTTCTTCGAGTCAAGAGTAGTTCGACATACTCAAGTCCTTTATTTCATAAAGGGTGTATTTGCCTCTTCTTTGCTGGTGCATGGCAGACTGCCCTGTTAACTGACACTTGTAGCGATGTATATGTCACGTGGTTTGCTGCTCTGATTGGTCCTAGCGCTGTCCAATTGTGTGGATGGTTTCAATGGCTCATGGCCAGACTACATGTTTAGGAATGGTTTGTCAGGCTAAGTTTTTGGTGTATCTTGATCTAACATTGAAACGTTATAAATTCAGTTTAGTTAGAATGTGTTCCTTGTTTACACCTCCGCCATCATTAGCATAAGAACTGGCGTCCCTCAGGGCTGTGTGTTGAGTCTCTTGCTCTTCATACTATACACCCATGAATGTGTTCCCATCCACCAGGTGAACAACTTTATCAAGTTTTGAAATGACATTGTAGTGGTGGGGATACAATGCAGGGACGAAGTGGAACAGTTGAAAGCGTGGTGTCCAGAGAGTAATCTGCTTCTGAACACCAACAAGACTAAGGAGATAATAGTTGGCTTCAGGAGGAAGACAACAAACCTTCAGCCACTCTTTTTTCAAGAGGTCTGCGTGGACCGTGTGTCCGTTTTTCGATACCTGGGAGTTAAGCTGACCTAGGGAGGTGGACATGGCAGAGAAAGCTAACAAAGCCCAGAAAAGTCTTAGAAAATTGGAAAAATAGCACTTCCCAAAAATTGATGGTGTCCTTCTATTGGTGCTCTATTGAGAGCATCCTGGTTCTCCACCTGAACTGAAGCCCATAGGAGAGGCTACAAGGGAGTAACACCACACAGAATATTGTCGGCTGTTCCTTGCCCTCCCTGGACAAACTGCACACAATTTGCTGCTGCAGTAAAGCAGAGGAAACCTCAAAGGACCTCTACCACCCTGCTCAAAGGATGTTCAATTTGCTGCCTTCAGGAAAGAGATACCAGGGCATCAAAGCTAGGATCAACAGGCTAAAAGACCATGTCTTTCCCTCAGCTTTGAGAGCATGGACACAAAATGGCCAATTAGCAATACCACGTGTTTTAATGTCCTGGTGTGTTTGTTTTATACATTTTAGGGTTAGCGTCTTGGTTTTATGAATTTATATGCAGGGTTTAATAACCAGAATGTCTTAAACCTTCCCCAAAGAAAGTCTAAACCGTTTTGCAACGGGTAAAGATTTCATATCCTTTTCAGCAAGCGGACACTTTTCCCCCTGGTCTAACTGAATCACTCCATCTCAAATTCCATCTTCCGAACTCTTTCCCAGAAGAGAATAAAACATTGATGAGGGGTTCACTCACCTCTGATGAGTGAGAAAGAATCAGGAGATTTTGCAGAAACATGCATGGAAACGAGAAAAGATGAAGAGTCATACTGTTGGAATTCACTAGGCTTATAACTCTCCCTGGAGAATTAAATTCCCACAATGCAATGCTGGAACCTTGATACAGCAAACAGCTATTTGCTGCGAAAACCTAAGGGTTTGTTGATGTTCTCACCAGAGTTGTCTCTCCCTCTTTTACTTTCCTCTCTGTTGTCACAACACACGTCTGGTTGCCCATGCACGCACACACACACACACACACACACACACACACACACACACACACACACACACACACACACGCACGCACGCACGCACGCACGCACGCACGCACACACACACACACACACACACACACACACAACTCTCCTCACATGCACACACAGCTCCATTAATTCCCCTACTGAGGAAAACACCTTTTTTGGTCAAAAATGAGAAGGACTGAGTCAAAGTCTAAACTATATTTCATCTCAGACAGAGATTTATGAGCTGGTTGCAAAGATTTGTGTTGGTTTGAGTTATATCTACATAGATTCTAGTGGCCTTGCACTTACGAGGAGATTGATTCACATTAAATTGCGCCAGCACAAAGTGAAAATGTTTCTAGAATGCCAACGACTCACTGGGAATGCCCAACTTTCTGCTGGAAAAAGTTTAGCGTTTTGGCCACTAAATCAAGTGTTTGAATGAACCTTCCTGATACTTCAAAGATACTTTATTAATCCTAGAGGGAAATTAGAGTTTCAGTACACACAATTCTGAGATCAGACATACATACATACATACATGGGCATAGACACATGACAAGAATTGGTGACTGTGGTCATTTGCAACCTGAGTCGTGCTACCTTAAAAGAGATCAGAGGGTTTATATATGAGGATTGTACGGAGCCCCTCTGATGACATGGTCCCAAAAATAAATAAATTGTGGCCACGAAATACTATTTTGAGGCCACGAAATAGCTATAACGTGGCCACGAAATACTTATTTGTGGCCACGTAATAGCTATTGCATGGTCAATGCGTGCATGGTCAATTTGGATTGAGTCCGGTGGAGGGAAAAAAAGGCACTTCAGAGTTACCCTCCACAGGGAGGGCAGCTTTGCTATGCAAAAAACACCTCAGACAGAATAACCAGCGATAACCAGTGCTCGTCACCTCCGTTTGGACAGGGGAGGGAGGTAGTTGGGTTTAGAGAGCACAGTGACTCCTGGAAACGATTCAACGACCTTCACCTGTCGCAGTCTCGCCCAGGCTGGGATAGGGAGACAGAGTTGCCATGGCGAAGGCAGCATTCCACATTTCTTCTGAGGGGGAGTAATCATTGTTGAAAAAATTTTGTCAATCGAGACCAACTGACCACGTCCATTTTTAATAATTTCCAGTTTCCAGAAAAAATGCAGAAGGGCCGTACACCCAAAGACAGACAAAGAGCCTTGGGATAAGATAGGGAGGAGAGGAGGAAAAAAGCGTCTGTACTCTCCAAGAGCCGGAAGAAGAATCCAGTTCCAGTTCTGAACAGGAGACAGAGTTTGCTTTGCACCAACTCCAAGCTCAGCCAGAGCAAAAAACTGTTTTAGTCGGGAGCTGGAAGCAGATTCAAGGGAAGGCTGTTGTTGTTTTAACGTTGGTAGTCAGCAGCGGATGTCTCGGCTAGTTTAGGTTAACCGTTAGCATTAGCAACTTCACCTCACGACAGAAGTCTTTGAGGCTTGTGTTTGTAAAAATAAAACATTGCAAGTAGTGACGTGACGTTCACAAACGAATCAAATCTTTTGAACGGGTTTTCAAAGTGAATGATTAGAGCTGAGTCCCTGTAGAGAGCCGTTCATCTTGTCTTACGGTGACAAACCTCTACGGAAGTCAGTAGTGGGCACTGGCTCAAACCCCACCCACCGCTGTGATTGACGTAGGAGTAACGGTAACCAACCCCGTGCGCCCTCACGGACACTGCAGGAACACGTTAATATCCCCCCACCCAGGAAGATCCTGTGATGAATAATCAAATTAAAAAATGAGGCAGAATAACATGTATGCCTCATCTTTTCACAATACCAGTATCCAGACATTGTAAACTAGGGCTGCACAATATTAGGAAAACCTGCGATATGCGATAACAGTGTATTGTATTGTGATGATGATATTACTCGCGATTTTTAAAAAAACAACTCAGGGAAAAAAATTATCAAAAACAAAGAAATAAGAAAATTACCAAAAATAATCGTAAAGATGTGAGGAAAAGGAAAAAGAAATTGACAACAAGA